GAGATGGTGGTGGAACGGGTGGGCTGTTGTCACTGGGAGCGGAGCGGGGCCGGCTGGGAGATGCCGGTGGAGCGGGCGGGCTGTTGTGTCACTAGGGGGTTGAGCCCCTGACCATCCTGGCTAATCGCCACTGATGGACCCGCCCTCCAGGGATTTATCTTGGCCCGTTTTAGAACCCTGTTACATTTTTGGCCTTCACACCTGTGCCGTGGGGGGGGCTGTCTGCTCTGTGAGGGGGTTGAGCCCCTGACCATCCTGGCTAATCGCCACTGATGGACCCGCCCTCCAGGGATTTATCTTGGCCCGTTTTAGAACCCTGTTACATTTTTGGCCTTCACACCTGTGCCGTGGGGGGGGCTGTCTGCTCTGTGATCCGGGGTCCCCCTGTGCTGGGCTGTGCGATTCCCACTGACTCACCCACATGTGCATTGGCCCAGACACCTAGCTCCAGCCTGAGCAGAGAACAAGGCTCTTCCCGGAGGAGAGACAAAGGGAGGGAGGTGGGGACGAACACCAAGTTTCAGGGAAGGGTCAGTTTTTGGCTGGAATCATGACGGAAACAGCCCAAGCTGAGGGCTGAGCATCTAGGGGGGGGTCAATGGACCCCCTAACCCAAGAGGTTTGAGGCATCCTGGCCCTGACCCCTGTAACCACCTCATGTCTGTGCTGTGCTGTATCCCGGAGAAGCAATAAACTCCCTCTGTTCTACTGGCTGGCAGAGTCTGTTCTTGCTGCTACGAGGCTGCAGGATCGAAGGAGCCCTGACTTGCTGTCATAACACCATCCCCTGGCAGGGAGTTCCGCAGGTCGACTGCATTGCGTGGTAACGCCTCCTGCTTGTTTTGAACTTGCTGCCTGCTCAGGCCATTGGCTCTTGTGTTCTGTGATGGGGTAACTCACATCATGACTTTCAGCAAAAGCATTCCTCCCAGCACTTGTGTGGTGCCCATCACCGTGGTGTCTGGACGCAGAGGACATGGTTTAGATTCAAGGTAGGGGATCTAGCAGTGTGAGGCAGAGGGGCTGCTGCCTTTTGGGGAACCAGTGATGTCTGGGGTGCGTAGCCCTCATGCCAGCCCCCCTACAGGAGAGACACATTTTGCCAGTTTGGGCTTCTGAGCGGATATTTGAGGATCACAAAGGTACGCGGCGATTCGGGTGCGCCGGTTCCATTCCTGGCTCGGGAAGCTGCGTTCTGCAGTGGGCATGTGCAGGGGAGCCAGCCTCCACCCCCTCTGCTGCAGCACGAATCCGCCCAGTGGTCTGTCCGTGCCAGCCCCCCAAGTCCCCTGGCTGTGCATGGCACTGCCCCATGCTAGGGCCTACGCAGCCAGGGCTCCAGTGCGACTGCCCGCTCCTTGCCCCCGAAGCGCCCGCGGTGCACCCAGGCGATCTCCAGCTCTGGCATGTGCAGGGGAGCCAGCCTCCACCCCCTCTGCTGCAGCACGAATCCGCCCAGTGGTCTGTCCGTGCCAGCCCCCCAAGTCCCCTGGCTGTGCATGGCACTGCCCCATGCTAGGGCCTACGCAGCCAGGGCTCCAGTGCGACTGCCCGCTCCTTGCCCCCGAAGCGCCCGCGGTGCACCCAGGCGATCTCCAGCTCTTTGGCTTCCCGCGCCCGGCCTCCCCGCCCCCGCCACTTCATTACCATGGATTTTATAGTAAAGACCTCAGCTTGAAGGAAGGACTCGCCGGCCGGGCCGTGGCTATCACTTATCGGATTTCCTGGCCGCAATTACAGGGGCCGAGCAGCCCTTCTATTTACCTGTGTAGACAACTCCATTTATTTCTATTGACATGTTGATGCTGCTAATGCCACTGGTGGACAGATTCAATGCAGTCTCCTGTCTGTCATCTGGGGAAGGAAATACCAGTCGGAGTGTTAAGAGACAGGAACAAAGCTGGAGGGGCGAGCCGGCGGGCGGGGGGGTCCCCTTGCCCCCCAGCCGGCCCACGGGATGCAGGCCCCCCCCGTTGCATCCTCCTGTCCCCACATTCGGTGGGTCCCCTGCCACTCCCTGTGGCCGCCGCCTCCCGGCGCCTGTTGGAAGGGGCCGCCCGTGTCGCCGGGCAACAGCGACAGGCTTTGTGACATCCCATGAGCAGCGCCTGTGTGTTGCGGGATCTGGGCATCACATTCCACCCACATCCGTCCATCCACTCCCACACCAATTATCCCTCCCTCCAGCCCTCCCCACACCCGCCATCCCTCCATCCCTCCCCACACCCGCCATCCCTCCATCCATCCATCCACTCCCACACCAATCATCCCTCCCTCCCCACACCAACCATCCCCACAATCCAGCCAGCCCACTCCCACTCCCACACTCACTATCCATCCATCCCCACTCATGGTACGTACCCCTCTCCATCCATCGACATGGCCCCACCTATCTGCCCTCCATCTACAGAGACCCCTCTGCCTGCCTCCCCATCCATCGGTACCCCCCTCTCTGGACAGCCCCGAGGAAGAGCTCCATGTAACCCAAAAATCTGTGAAGTTGATCAAAGGCCTCCCCCACTTGGTCTTTCTCCCTCCCCTCTGTAACTGCAGCCTAGCTGGCCGCTTCTTTATCACACACCCAGCCCCCCCAGTCAGCATGTTGTGCTCACCACCATGATGTCCACTCACAAAGCCACGACCGTGGGGAGGCTCTTCCCATCCTACTCTGTCCCTCTGCTCTAGACCCACAATCTCCCATGCAGGCACCCCTGGGTGCCCACAGCTGTCCTCCTCCACACACTACCTGAAACTGGCCTAGTCCCCAGGCCCGATGCTGCCCCACCCCAGTGGCACACATGGGACAGGGTGAGCAGGCTCTGACAGACTTTGTGCATAGGCAGCTGGGCAGGGTCCTCTTAGCCAGTCTTAGCTCCTTCCACCCCCAGAGACAGCAGCTCTGCCCACCTCATCTTGACCTACCCTGCACAGCCAGGGTGACATGCTCCAAGGACAGCAGCTCTCAGGGACCCTCATGGAGGGATCCTGCCAGGACTCAAAGGTTGCTGTCCCTTAACACCAGGGCAGCCCACTCACAGGACAAAGCCGGGTCCCCCCTCCACACAGCAAACAGACCTGTGCCTGTTTAGCTTCAGAAACATGCCAGAGCCCATGGTGACAGAGCTGCCTGGGCAGAGGGTAGGTTCCTCTATCTCCCGCCCCCCACGGGACCTCGGTTGCTGATCTTGATGTTGACGGGGAACTGGGCGCCCTTAACACCAGGGCAGCCCACTCACAGGACAAAGCCGGGTCCCCCCTCCACACAGCAAACAGACCTGTGCCTGTTTAGCTTCAGAAACATGCCAGAGCCCATGGTGACAGAGCTGCCTGGGCAGAGGGTAGGTTCCTCTATCTCCCGCCCCCCACGGGACCTCGGTTGCTGATCTTGATGTTGACGGGGAACTGGGCGGACATGGCCAGCAGGTTCTGCTGCAGGGCGGGCTGCACCCG